TAGGGAACATTTTTGGAAATGGTAGGGGGGGGATGGTAAAGATTGGAACTGTATTGGACGTACCAAGGAGAGGGGGGGGAAAGGGTGGAGGGAATGGAGAAGGGGCGGGGACAGAAGAAGCGGGAACCTGGGGGGGCCCAGGGAGGAAGAAACTTGGGGGGGAAAACAGGGGAGGAAGGTCAGTACGAGAAGGAGGGTGAACCCTACACTTGTAATGAGCCGTGAGAGGGGGAAAAACAGGGACAGGACGGGGAGGGTAAAAAAAGAGGAGGTGGAAAGGGGTGGGAGGTTTAACGGACCTTTTTTTGAATTTTGAGAAGTTAGGGGGGACATTGGAGGAGGTGTCATACGAATCTCGCGTATGGGGTTTTGGGGGAGAGAGAATGGAAAAAGAAGCAGATCAGACTGAGGCGTTAGTAGGGACGTCTGAGCCGAGGACAGCAAAAGGGATTAATACAGAGTGACTAGGGGGGGTAACCAAAGAGGGGGTTTGGTAGAAGAGGGGATACCAGAAGGGGGGGGGACTTTTTTAAACCGGGGAATAAAAAAAACACGGGGGATTTCCCCCCTTGGGGCGGAGAGAGAAACTGCCAGGGGCATAAGGAGACTTCTGTCTCTTTGGGGTAACGGTTTTACCCGCTCGTTTTAAATAGATTTGACAAGGGGCGAGAGTACAAGGGTGACCTCATGAAAATTTAAAGGCAAGGGGGGAGATCGATTGCAAGACGTATTAGAATGGCATCGGCCCCACAGCGGGGCATTTGGTGTAGATCTGCAATATTTCCTGGATGGGGCCCAAACGCCAGCAATTTCTAACTGTTGTGGTGTAGGGATACCTTTCGAACTTGTAACCGATGTCCTGCTATATAAAATGAGGATGGGAGTTCTCGGCGTCAAAAATTAAACGAGCCAATTGTTTTTGGGTTGTCTGGGGGCAGGGAAAAACTAAGGTTCCTTTGAGGTTTGGGGGGTCTTATTCCGCGTTTAAAAATTCAGTGTCACATGTTTTGGGAAATTTTTTTTGAAACTATGGGATGGGGGCAGAAGACGGACCAACAAAAATTGAGGGGAAGTGTTTTTAAGAGGGCAGGGAAAAGTATCGATATGGGGAAAACGAGAGAGTCATGAGCCTGGGGAGCTTCTGTACGGTAATGTGCGCGTACCCCTCTTAAGAGCATGAAAAGAAAAATCTTTACCACATGGGGTAGGAGGGCCTTTCCCAAAACTGTGGCAGAAAAATAGGGAGTAGAGGGGGTCGGTGTAAAAATGAAAATTTAGTCCATTGTTCAGTTGAAAACTGACGTGGGAAAGGTAGGGGGGGAAGGCGTGTCGACTTTTTTGAGAAGAACGAGAAGGTGGAGGGAAATATCTCGCAGGGAATTGTCGTTGGCGTTTTGGCATGGGGCCAGGTTGGGGCCGACGGGAACGGGGGCGATTTGAAAATTGCCGCACCATAGAGGGAGAGGCCGGGGAACATTAGGGGAGAGCGAAGGGTTTATAAAACAAGGGGGAGGGGAGGTAGTCCTGGGGGGGGGAAAAAAACAACCGGGGAAAAAAAGGTACAGAGGCATGAGGGGTTGAAAGTGGTCCAAAAACGAGGCAGGGTCAGAACGGGGTGCGGTTAAGAAGGGGCCCGGGTGTGGGTTATACTAGGGTGCCATGGTTAGGTTACTTCTTTCTTTTTGTTTTTAAAAAAAAAAAGAAAGAAAAGAAAAAAAAATAAAAAAAGAAAAAAAAAGGGGGGGGGGGACCGGGGAGGGATAGTTCCTGGGAGGAATAAAAAGGGCCAAAACTCCCTCCGCGCCCAAGGGGCCCTCAGCACCGCAAGTACGCAGATGCGAAAGGGAAACCCGTGCCATCCCCTACCCATTATGCTAGTAAACTAAAATCCGGGATAGAAAACACACATCTGCTGAGTACCTGGGTGGACAAAAGGAGGGGGGCCCGGTATCCGCCAAAAAGCATACCTCCTTCGGCCCACCCCCCCGGGGGAATCCGAAAGGTGGCTTCCAAGATACACCCTTCGCCCGAAAGACACCCAAAGTTTACCCCGGGATGGGGGAAAGGGGGTCGGGAAATCCCCAGGCGCCCAGTTTACACGGAAAAATCCCATCCCAAAGAACCCTCA